AAGTGGACTTTAAAGTACCTTTGAACCTTTGGTACTGTATGGAAATATAAGGCTCTCTGCTCATTCTGCCACACCTGCACAGCGCATCATGTGGGAAGGCAGAGCAAGAAGGCTTGCCCTGTCCACTCCACACTTAACTTTTCCTTTTCAGTGGGCTATGTTATTCCATCAAACTCATTCTGTGACAAATATATGAAGTACATCGTGGCTGTTAACGTGTTGAAAGTGGGCTGAGTGTTTCCCAGGTGAAAATGCTGATGACATGCCCTAAAACTATTTTATGAAAGTGCAAAGAGGGGAAATGATAGAATTAAAAAAAAAAGATAACACAAATCAAATTATGTATGCTATTGACAGAATTTAAATGATATGGGTTCTCATTGAAACATTATTTCGGTATCCACTATGGTAATAGCCTCACGTGTGACCAATCCTGGGAAGCACCAGGGTGATTCTATAATTGGAGATACGTTTAGCATTTCAAAAGTTTAAGGGAAAAAAAACTGTTCACTAACAGAAATTCTTTCCAGTATCTTACTGAAAACATATTCAATTTTAATAATTCAGTGCTTGCCAAACACGTTACTTCTTCTTCTTTTTTTTCTTTTCTTTATAGTATTAATTGTCAACTCTGTTACAGACAAATTGGGCAATGTTTAGAAATAAAGACAAATCATAAAAGGAAAAATCCTTCTTTTTTCATTAGACAAACAGTCCTTACATTCCAACAATTGAAACTGAGATATTTCACCTATACATACCTTAAAAATCATAATAAAAAAATACAGATGTCTTCACAGAACCATCCACTTGGAGCAAATATTTGTTATCTAAAAATGTATTATATGAAATATACAGTAAAAAAATTTTTTTTTTAAATATCATAAGGGTGCAAAAATACTTCAATATTATGATGTTTTAAACAACAGTTTCATTATTTGTGTGAAAACATAAACAGAGTTGACCCTTTAAGTAACATAATTGTAAAGTAACAGAATTAACAGAATTGACTGGTGGACTGTCAATTCTGTGACATACTGTCGGCATTGTTATCTACCTTGGTAAAAGAGCTTGACAGTAACAGAATTGACTATTTTATATTTTTGAGCCAAAAACTCCACTTGCTAGCATAAATGCTAAGAGCACATGGCACTAATAAAATCCTGATTAAAAGTGTGATGCAGTAGACTTTTGGCAGGGTCTACTGTGGGCGTGTTAAGGTCCAAAAGGGGAAAAAATAATGTCTCAACCTGCAAGTACTCTTTAGAGCAAGGTGATGTTTATTTACAGGTGCACCATAAATCTAATAGTCCAACTGTAAATAATCATATACAAGTGAACAGTCCCAAAAAATTAAAAAAATTAAAAAATACAAAGTACCAAAGCAACCACTAAAAAAATTATAATAAAAATAAAATGTATTAATTAAAATAAAATAAATCAAAGACATTTAACTGTACAAATAACACACAAAATCGAAATCACTATACAAAAAGGTTCCCTTTCGATACTACACTCGTACTGCGTCGCTAGTCGCTATGGGAAAAAGTCATTTTTTCTCTGATACTGAAGCCTTTTTTAATAACAAAGAGTGTAACTGCATGGCCATTGGTTAGTGCAGTGAAACAAAAACGATCCAATGGCGAGTCAGCGGATCTGCACGAGCCTATGGCCACAAAGCCTGCCATCTGGCTATATAAGCAGGCATTCTGGAATAGGATCCTCAGATTTCTTCTCCTTTAGCGACGACCATGATCTTCGCTCTACGATACTCAAAGCCTTCGCCACTGACAAGCCTGGCACCCAGCTAACAGGGAACGTTCCCATAACTTTCACTAACGTTATGTAAAAGTTTTGTAAATGTTAGAAAGAAACGTTCCTGACATAATGTTTCTGGAACAGTCTTATAATGTTTTCATAGTTAAAATACATTGTCGTGACGTTGAGCGAAAACGTTCTCATAACAACGTTCTTGTAACGTCTTTATGATGTTACAGAGAGCACAACAGAAACAGCACATGATGTCGAATCGGGAATTGAACACCAGTCAGCCGTATACATATGTCTGTTCCTTAACCACTAGGCCACCACAGCCACACGAACAATTAGGCCACCAAACTAAAGTACTGCAAGAGAATCGATCTCGCAGTACTTCAGGTTATACACCGATCGGTCTGTGCAGTGCGCTTCAAGTCAAACAAGCCGACTTCCAGGTTCTGACGTCATCACGGTGTATACGCTCCATGCAGCGCCGTTTTCAAACCAATGGAATTCAAAATCTGCAGCTCACCTTTATACATGTCTACTTCTGAGGCCAGATCGCAGCCATTCTAACAGGTGAGTCGATTAGACCTTAGGTTGTGTGTTTTTTTTGTTATATATGCAAAATTTGTATGACTGGGTAGCTATAGTTTCAAAGCCAAAGTCATTTCTGCGGGAGACAATTATAGGCTACTTGTTGTGACATGGTATTTACTTTTTAAATGGTAGGCCTATGTTAAATTGAACTCCTATTTGTGTGCAGACAGGCGTTGCCGCTTTATATTTGATAAATTACTGAATCTTACACGCTTCATAACATTCAGTTTTAACGTTAAATATAGGCTGTTATCTGATTGGCTTGAGTAGACGATGGGTGGAGTCCACGCATTTGTGGATTGGTGTGTGTCTCGATGCTAGAAATGTTTCAAAATCCACAAATGCACAGTGAGCGATCCACAAATGGGTGCAGCGATCTACAAATGCACGGGACGCGATTCACAAATTAATGCCAGGCAAAGTTGTGTTTGTGACTTAAAAAGATATTTGTGAATATGTTTTTTATTTGCAAATCTCATTTTATTTATTTGTGGATCTAATTCTATATATTCGTCAATATGTTTAATTTTTGTTAATCTCTTTACATTTATTTGTGGATCATAATCTATTTATTTAGGATAAAGCAACTATTCTACCCCCATACTCTGGCAACATTACTATTAACATTATTACCATTAGAAATAATTTTATTTGTAGTCTTAAGCTGTGAATTTAATGCCATAATTTTTAAAGTTTCATTCTTTTTTAAAAAAATGGTCAACAATATGTTTTCATTTTGTTCTTTTGAAATATAATGGCCATTAATGTCTTACAAACATTTATGTGACTGTAAATTTCATCACTCAGTTGAATAAAATCAGGTTATTTTAAGTGATATACTTTTCTTTGACTTAGTTGCACGTGTAATTAGAAAATTAATCAGCTATATGTCAGTACTTACATTCTTTCTCTCTCTCTCTCTCTCTCTCTCTCTCTCTCTCTCTC